CAATGGTTGCTGTTAAAGGACCGGGAAGGAATTTCCCTGCATTTGCAGGTTTCGCTGTCCCCATAGCAAAACGCCACAACTTTGGCGGTTTCAGGCCTTGGGAGGAATCCTTTAGTCTATCTTCACGGGGGGGGGGCATGAAGCTGTGATACACGCCCCCCCCCCCGTGGTGGTGGTCCCAGGGTTCCCTGTTAAAGGGATTGTGTTGAGGGGAGTCACTGACCATAGTTGAAAGATTATCTGTGTTCTCCCCTGCATGACGGAGAAATGGGGGGCGGGCTCTCTGCTTAAACATACATCTTCCAGAGCCAGCCCAATCCCCAGATAGATTAGATTGATTAACCCTGATGTGCCCCAGATCCCCGACTATCCGGGAGGGATAAACACCCAATGCCTAAGCCAGGGTCTTCCTGCATCTGAAAGTTTAATAAAGTTGTGGCCAATTCTAATCCCATAACACGCGTCACAAGTCATTATTCTACCTGGGTGTCGCCTGGGTTCGGGGGGGTCTCCGCCTGGCCACACAATGCTGTTTCCTGCTTGCATCAAGGCATTTGGGAAGATAAATAAGGAGGAGAAAATGTATCTAACGGCCACTTTTTAAACAGTCTTGCCAAATAGAAGTGTGTAATGAATATTTAACTGGACCGCAAATCTCCTTAAAAATTAATATCTTGTATCTTGGGAAACAAGTCTGGCAGCCAATGTGTACTGGATGCAGTGACAGAGTCATGTGATGCAGCTAATTAAAAAGGAGGTTTATTCCCCCATGTGTCCTCTTTCTTTCATGCCATCTCTTTCGATACGAGATGCCTGTATCGGGAATGGCTGATCTGTGCAGAAAGTTCTAAAGGTGCCAAACTCAACTATAGAATCAATGGGACCAGTCAATGACAGGGCACAGGCAGTGTTTCTTGGCTGTTTTGAACCCAGCATCCCCTTCTAAACTTGTGCCGCTCCAACCAATCAGCAATCACCTCTTCCACAGGTGAATATGCAGAGATGCAGTCATGTAGGTACTGCTGACTCTGCTTGTGAAATTCTGTGGACTGGGATAATAATCCAGAAATGCACAGCCACACAAAAGCAGCTGTGAACTTCCTTCTTTCCAAATCACGTTGGGATGATGCAGACACGGCCACAAATCCAGTGTGGATCACTGAGGATCCACGACAGAGTGTTTTAGATGTATGGAGGTCTTGACTGGTGATTTATCACAATCCTCTCCGTGCTTGGAACTACATACACCTAGATTCCCCTGCCCACCTAATGAAGCCAAACTTACAAAATAACATCCATGCTACATACCACTGGCTCCGTACTGCACTCACATGGATACAAAAAGAATTATCTGGAGAGAAGAATAGGGTCCCTAATTGCTCCAATACATTTAATGCAAAGGCACTGTACATTCACAGAATCATAGTATTGTAGGAAGGGACCACGAGGGTCATCTAGCCCAACCCAAGAATCTTTTGCCCTCATGGACTTGCTAAAGGTCCATGAGGACATTCATAGTCCAAGAATCTTTTGCCCTCATGGACTTGCTAAAGGGTTCCTATAAGGGGCCAAATGTATTAAGAAAATGACACCTTCAGTATGCAATGTCTTTGAGGTTTTTTGCTGACACCGGCAACAGTGGTGTCCATCACATACCTGCTGTTAATTACATTTCAGGTATCTGATGGAAGTAGATTTCAGCTTACATTGCATTTTAAAAAATACCCCAGCGCCCTATGGGAATTATGGGCTAATACTCTTTTTTCCCCCTGCCCCACCATCTCCCTGCACCCCATGTAAGGAACTGACTTGCATCACAATCCAAAGCATGCTTACTCAAGTAAGTCCCACAGAGTTCAGTGTTGCTTGCTCCCAAGTAAATGTGCACAGGATTGCAACCTTAAGTCTCTTTTACTTCAGTGTCAGCAGGTGACATTTTTACATTTCAAATGCTTTCCCTTCTTTGACCCAACCTATAATGCAAGCAAACTTTAATATGTCACTCTCTGTTAAGAAGCGAAGACCCTTAGCTGCTAAAATCAACACAAAACTATAGTACAACCCTGCTTAATGTTCAGTTGTTATCATTTACTGTGTAGATGCATGGAATGTTTTTTGGGTGTGGAGGTATATGGGGGTTGATTGTTATATGTACAAGAATGTTATATGTCAAGAATGTATAATTTGCTGCTGAAATGGAATACGCAAGATGAAACAGTAAAATCAGCTATGATCAAATGGGCACAAGACATAGGTCATGACATTATGTTTGATGACTGGGAAAGGTTATGGAATACTGGTGTTAGGTTTACGGCTTGTAATGCTTTGAGAGAAAACATAATGAAAATGATCTATAGGTGGTACATGACCCCAGTCAAACTTGCAAAAATTTACCATTTGCCCAATAATAAATGTTGGAAATGTAATGAGACTGAAGGTACTTTCTATCACCTTTGGTGGACCTGCCCGAAGATTAAAGCCTACTGGGAAATGATCTATAATGAAATTAAAAAGGTCCTTAAATGGACATTTTCTAAAAAACCAGAGGCTTTTCTCCTGGGCATGGTGGGCCAATTGGTGCCAAGGAAGGACAGAACTTTTTTCATGTATGCTACCACAGCAGCAAGAATTCTTCTGGCAAAGTATTGGAAGACGCAGCAGCTACCCACTCTGGAAGAATGGCAAGCGAAGGTGATTGACTACATGGGAATGGCAGAGATGACTGGCAGAATCCGTGATCAGGGGAGTGAGACAGTGGAAGAAGATTGGAAGAAATTTAAAATATACCTTAAAAATTGTTGTAACATTGAGGAGTGCTGAGATGTTATGGTGTTAAGAAACAGAGAATTGCAGCTGTAAATCATAAATTTAAGGAAATTATAATGAAGATGAGTTAATTAATTAAATGAAGGGTTGCTGTTAAAAGGGAAAAATAAGGATGCAGAAAAAGGGAGGTATGGGGAAGTCCGGGAAATAAGGTGAAGGAAAATAAGTTTAGGAAATTATACATGTTTATTTGTTTGTATGTTTTGTTTTGTTTTATTGTTTGTTTTTATTACATGTTTGGAAAATTAATAAAAAAAAATTTTTTTAAAAAATGATTGTTATATGTACAGTATATGTATATATATATTTTGAAACTGAATAGCAAAGAAGCTTTTAAAAAGAGAACAGGCAGTTGCATAGTTTAAAGCATTAAGTTTTTGTGTGTGTTTTCTTGGAAGGGTACTCAAAAAGTTTTCCCATTTCCAGTTCTTCCTGGCCTGAGAAAAGCACAATATCATTCTATCCAACGCTCTACCTTAACATTTGCAAGGTGGGAGGCAACCTGTGCCAGCCCTGGCTTCAATTATTTCTTGATTAGGGCATAAGTTGGCTCTCAGGTTTAAAATCACTATGAAGACTCGCAGGGTTGCAAGTGTGATTGATTTATAATTAAAGAGACTCCTAAGCAAAGCCCCGCTGTGATGGAAAGGAAATTCTCTCTGAGTTTTAGTTTTCCATTCAGAATTTCCTAGGAGACCATTGCTTTATTGAACTGCAAATTCCAAAATATCACCATTAATCTTTATGGCCTTAATATTTATTGCTACCAAGGGGGAAATCAGCAGATTCGAGAACAAGACTAATTCTATGCAGTATCTCTCTCTGTGTGTGTGTGTGTGTACATGCACGCATGTGTGCGTTCATGTCTATATATAATCCAGCCCTAACAGCCACACACTCCCCTTTCTGTTCATCTGTTCAATATGGTCAAGGATTATTAAATGATGCTAATGCTTTTGTCAGCTGACATTACAACTTGTACACTGAGCCGTTTAAAGGCAGATGTTTTGTTGCTTTGCTGCTGATATTCTTCCCCAGCCCCCAGCTGAGAACCCAGCTGAACTGCATTACAACACAGCCACATATCTCTCTGTGTGTGTAATTACTTCTATTTTTAAAAAATATATGTACAGAAAACCACATATGAGTAGCAGGTTTTTAGGATTTCACTTGCACATCATGCCACGTGCCACACCGTGTATCTCTTAAATGTACTAGGCAGAAATCAGAAGAAGCACCTGCTCCATTTTAAATAGCGATCTACTGTCAGAAATAACCAAGCTTGTCTTTTTTTTTTTTTTCTTTCGTTGGCTGAAATATTAACATGTGGCTATTATCAGCAACTGGTCTCCTCCAGAATGCTACCCACCGGATCTGTGACTAACACATGCTTTGAATGGAGCCAAACAAAAATCATGTCAGGGTTGGGTTGGGTTTTTAAAGAAGGAAGGGGGCAGGGGAGGAACTATTCCTTCTCCGAAACAGACTAGCACTGAATCTAGCTTTTCTGAAAACCCGAAGGCCCTCTCTCAACTAGCTGTCCTTAGAAAATGGCTGAGAAGAGTGGCAAACCCCCTCCCCAAACGAGAGAGTCCAACTGGTGGCCCAATTGCTGAACCCATCTCAAAGGCACCAGGGAGCAAATTTGGACTCAAGCAAAAAAAAGGGGGGGTTGCTCTATCTGATCCCAATAAAGGAACAGAAGTGCAAGAATGTTGGATAATATTCCAGCACTCAAAATACTAACAACAAGGCATTGCATGAAGGAGGATTTCTTACCCCCAAACAACTGACCCACTGACAGTGGATTCCACCCCCCCCCTCAACTTATTGCTCCCTCCTTGTGCCCTCCCATAGGTGCCAACTCCTAGGGGCTGAGGTCCCTTTGCCTTCCCTCCCCAAAGTTGATAGGCATTGGCATTCCAATGGTGTGGGTGTGCCCCATCATGTGATCAATTATGTGGGATGGGGCTTACCTGCCTCTCCCCCCCCCATATTTTATTCAAGTTGGCACCCCTGTGCCCTCCTTGTCAACAAGTTGAGCAACTTAAAAGGCGAAAAGCATATATTGTATATATTTCCCGGGGGTGGGGGTGTGCCAGAAAAGGGGGGACAGACCCAGAGGGTGGGAGAGGCAGAGGGGAGGGACCTCGCTTGCCGACAGCGACGCTTACCACCAGCACGGGCACCCCCGCCGCCAGCGAGTAGAGGAGCACGGGGGGCACCGCGCTGCTCTCCTCCGGGCCCGGGTAAGGCTTGCGATAGGCGCTCTCGTAGCAGAAGAAGCCCTGCACGTTGACCGAGAAGGTGTCGGTGTACTCGAAGTAATAAGCCAGCATCACAGTCCCTGCCATGATCACCATCTGGAAGTAAAGCATTCTGGTGAGAAGAGCAGCAGCAGCAGCGGCAGGAGGTGGAGGAGGAGCAGGAGGAGAGGGCACTGGCATGTACTCTGGCGGCGGCGGCAGCGGCAGCCCCCCTCCCCGGCTGCGCGCTCCGCCCGCTTCCCGGAGGCATCCACCGGGGGAAGGAGGAGGCGCCTTAGTCCCAGGCAGAAGCAGGAAGAAGAAGAGGACCAAAGGCGTCCGGGCGCACGGCCGAGCGCATGGATGGCAAGGGGCGGAGGCGGCGCGGTCCTGGGCGCAGGGTCGCGCACGTGGGGCAAGGCCCCTCCGGGGGAGTGATGGAGGCAACCAGCACGGGCTTCCCCCGCGGCAGGCGGAGCCCCGGGCGCCGCTGGAAGGGCTGGGGAGGGGGTCCTAAGCGCGCTCCGTCCGCGGCAGCTCTCCAAGGCGTTCCGAGCGAGGCAGGAGAGCGCAGCAACTGCGCGCCGGGGAAACGGGTCGCGGCGCGCGCGCGCACAGCCCTCCGCTGCGACCACTGGGGGGGATTTGGTGGGGGGGTGTCGCCGGTCCTTTAATCCCACAGCGTCCCGTATAGATCAGAGTGGGTAGTGGACCCAGCCCCCCGCAGGCGCACGGAAGTCTCCTCTTTGCGGATTTGCCTGCGGGCAAAAAATATATATCAGTAAGTCGTGCCAAAAAAACCCCAGTTAAATAAATCTTCAGACTGGAGACTTGGATCCAACAAGCCTTGGAGACGATCGGAGGGATCCTTTCCACTCCAGGAACGGATTCCTTGCCCCCGGCGCGCTCAAAGTTCCATCCTTCGCCGCTGGGATGCGGCCCCCCGGCGCCTCTCCGCTGGCTGCCCCCGCGCCTGCGAAAAGCTCGCCCTGCGCTTAATCTCTTGCCTTGCTTTGAACCGGTCCCTGCCCGAACGCAGCGGCGGAGGCAGCTCAAATGCCGTTTCCAAGGCTGCCGGAGAGCTGGAGGGGGTGGGGAGAGAGGTGGGTGGATTTTGAAAAGGCGCTTCCTTCTCGCTCGCGTCTTTCCTCCCCTATTAAGGATTTTTGGTTGTGTGTGGCTTTTTTCCCCCTTAAAGAAAAAAGCGGAAGCAGTAACTCCCCCGTGCTCGTCAATCGAAGCATCAGCTTCCCATGTGTGTAATATATTATATATACATAATATATATAGCTCCTTCTCTTCCTCCTCCTCCTGCTTTGAGAACTAGCTGCTTGCAAGCTCTGGCATTGCAGCTGGCTCTCAGCTCGTACTAGCTGCTTAGAAACACAAGAGACGCTTCTCAGAATCCAACCATCTTGAGAGGCTTCTTATACAAACTGGTGCAAACGACAGAAGGGCTGCCCAACGGGAAAAGCCACAACTTCATCTAGCCTCGCTCTGGCTTCAGCAGCACTATTGATCTGAGGTTAGATGATGTTCCATCAAAGCACCCACACTTCCTAGCGCAATCCCCTCCTCACTTTCCTTATCGCAAAAAGCCCAAAAATCTCCAGTCAGCAGTCATTGTGCAACCTGGGCTTGCCAAAACATGATTCAGTCCTACCTGAAAATAGTGACAATCCATAAATATCCTAGGTTTGGCCAGTACCTGGATGAGAAGCCACCCAGAATCTCCTTGTGTGCCTCCTTGAATTTCATGATGGAAGAAGGATTGGGATACTGAATAAACAAAGGGCACACAAAGAGTTCTCTTCCACATACAGTATGCTGTTAAAGCACATTTCTCCCCTCAAGGAATCATAGGGAACTGTAGTTTAAGGGTGCAGCTCTGTGTGAGGTAGACTACAGTTCCCATCGTTCTTTGAGGTATGCGCTTTGAAGGTATAATGTGGATGCAGCCATTGCTAGAGTCAATCCTCTTCCAATGGAAAACTGCATGCTACATTTGGGATTGCAATTGCTTGAGTATTGCAGTGTGTGTATTTTTGTGTGTTTGTATGTGTGCAAGGTTTTCCTCTCTGTTCCATCCACACTAGTGGATGCAACAGTTGCATATGAGACAATGTAGCTGAGCCACTGATGCTGCTTAATGCTTTCTTTATCAGTGCAGCTGTTTTCATACAAGATAAATTTCCTGCGCTGACATCAATTCTGTGAGGCGGGGCTGCATATCTCCAGGCTAAGGTTGTCACATAGTGTCACTGGTGAAATGGATCTAAATGTGTATCACAAATAATAATAATAATAATAATAATAATAATAATAATAATTTTTAAAAAAATTATTTATACCCCGCCCTCCCTGGCCAGAGCCAGGCTCAGGGCAGCTAACACTAGTAAAATTACAGTAAAAACCCAATTTAAAATACAGGTTAAAATGCAATTTAAAATGCAGCCTCATTTTAAAAGTAGCCCATAGATCAAAACCATATGGGGAAGGAAGCATAAGGGTCAGACTGAGTCCGAACCAAAGGCCAGGCGGAACAGCTCTGTCTTGCAGGCCCTGCAGAAAGATGTCAAGTCCCACAGGGCCCTAGTCCCTTGTGACAGAGCGTTCCACCAAGTCGGGGCCATTACTGAAAAGGCTCTGGCCCTAGTTGAGACCAATCTAACCACCTTATGACCTAGGACCTCCAAAATGTTGTCATTTGTGGACCTTAAGGTCCTTCGTGGGGCATACCAGGAGAGACGGTCCCGTAGGTACGTGGGTCCTAGGCCGCATAGGATTTTAAAGGTTAAAACCAGCACCTTAAACCTGACCCTGTACTCCACCGGGAGCCAGTGCAGTGCAGTGAGAGTCATGCAGTTTTCTATGCACAAGTGACTTACAGGGGGGGAATCATGCAATGTATTCTATGGGACTGCAGGTTTGGAATAAAATATTCTCATAGGCAGGGACACGGGTGGTGCTGTGGGTAAAAGCCTCAGCGCCTAGGGCTTGCCGATCGAAAGGTCGGCGGTTCGAATCCCCGCGGCGGGGTGCGCTCCCATTGCTCGGTCCCAGCGCCTGCCAACCTAGCAGTTCGAAAGTACCTCCGGGTGCAAGTAGATAAATAGGGACCGCTTACTAGCGGGAAGGTAAATGCCGTTTCCGTGTGCGGCTCTGGCTCGCCAGAGCAGCGATGTCACGCTGGCCACGTGACCCGGAAGTGTCTCCGGACAGTGCTGGCCCCCGGCCTCTTGAGTGAGATGGGCGCACAACCCTAGAGTCTGTCAAGACTGGCCCGTACGGGCAGGGGTACCTTTACCTTTTATTCTCATAGGCACATCTATGGAATATTAACTACTGTGAAAATCTGGCCTTGATGGAACATTAATACTGGTTTTGTCCTGGAGCAATTATGTTTTTGCTATGCTTGGGTTTGTGGCTAATGTGGCAAACTTTCCTGGGGGTCAACAGTTAGCGTGCAAACAAACGCTGTCAATGGCATCTTTGGTGTATGTTTCTGAGGCGACTTACAATGTCAGTAGCTGTGTGGAATTTCTTTTCGAAATTCTTTTTATCGGACTGGAGAAAAGGCAGGTCCTTTATCAACCCTGTGAAAAGTACTTCCCAAATATTTAGCTATTGAATTAAAGAGAACATTAAAGAGAGCATGACCTGAGCTTTCTAATGTAGGTTGTACTGATTTCATACAAAGAGGGACAATTTCCCTCACTACATTTACTTTTCCCCTCACTACATGGACTCTTTGAATTTGCAGCTCTCCAGCTATCCCTCCCCCACTGCCACAATTGCTACCCTACATCAGAGTTTGCCAATGTGATGCCACAGGAGCAACTATGCCCACCAGTACTTCCTGTGACAGCTGTGGAACTTCCCCTCCAAAATCTACAATGCTTGAGAGACAGTTTGCTCTTCCTAGTCACTTCCTATATGCACAGGATTGGGACATGGGTGGTGCTGTGGTCTAAACCACTGAGCCTCTTGGGTTTGCCAATCAGAAGGATGGTGATTTGAATCCCAGCTCCTGCCAACCTAGCAGTTTGAAAGCATGCCAGTGCAAGTAGATAAATAGGTACCACTGTGGCAAGAATGTAAATGGCGTTTCCATGCACTCTGGTTTCCGTCACGGTGTTCAGTTGCGCCAGAAGTGGTTTAGTCATGCTGGCCACATGACGCAGAAAGCTGTCTGTGGGCAAACACCAGCTCCCTCAGCCTGAAAGTGAGATAAGCGCTGCAACCCCATAGTCGCCTTTGACTGGACTTAACCGTCCAGGGGTCGTGTGTGTGTGTGTGTGTGTGTGTGTGTGTGTGTGTGTGTATGCATGCACAGCCTCAGAGAGGTGGGGGAACAGCCAAGGATTGAATGATTGCTATGGAAGAATGAAGTGAAACATTCTCCCAATTCAAATAAATCTATCATCGTTATCATTATCATTATTTTATTTATACCCTGCCCATCTGACTGGGTAGCCCCTGCTACTCTGGGTGGCTTCCAACAAATATAAAAGCATACTCAAACATCAAACATTAAAAACTTCTGTATACAGGGCTGCCTTCTTGATATTATCAAGAGGGAAAACTTGAGTGCATTTTTTTAAAAGTCAAATGCTGGCTACTAAAAATCAGATGTTTTATTAAACAATTGCTTAAATGGTAGTAAAACACAAAATATGGAAGCGGAAAGTGTTTGCAGAATTGCAATAAAAATTCAAAACTGCCTGCCTCTTGGATTTCTGAAATACCTAGTTTTCCATGGTATTTCTTTATGTCCCCATCTAGCCCGGTTAGTTGAATAACGCAATGCAAAAAAGCACTCCTGTTTATCTATTTAAAGGGAGAGGCATTATATCCCCCCAGGCCATTCACATAAGCAGCGTTGTGCTGTGCTATGCATAAGCTAGGTAAGCTTCCTTCCTAATGAGCTGAATTAATCATTGGGATGTGTCTCGCAAGTTGAAGTAGAATATTCATAGCAGCCACAACAAGAACCGCAGGATCTTGCCAAGTTTCCCGAGTCACGAAGGCTGGAATCCTAACTGCACTAACCTGGGTGTGAGACCTACTGAATTCAGTAGGACTTACTTCCAAGTAGACCTGGTTACAATTGCGCTGCTCAAGCTTTGAGAGGGCAAGGCAAGTTGAGCGAAGCTCCCCTTCCCGTCTCCAAGCACAGTTTCTGAATATGAAAGGGCAAACCTAAATTTATGCAGGTCACCTATTCCAACATTCAGTTGCACTTAACCGTAGCTCAGAAGAACCAGATGCTGACAAGCAGCTGTTGTGCACCTTACTTAAGGAAGACAGTGTGCTGAAAAAGCAATAAAGTTTTCATTGACGAAAAAATGCAAGTAGACAGGTGCAGCAAACATTTCCGAACATATAACTGTCCTTGGCTCACCTGTATGTTCTTACAGAGAAAGTTGTTCTTCCAGAATAGGAAATCTGCATTCTTTAAGGGAGGGGGAGAGACTGCTTAAATAAACTTCACTAGAACAAAAACATTCCAGCCACTTTACCTATGAGCACACAGATCGCCATTCCCCAACCTGGTGCCCTCCTGATTTTTGTTGGACTACAGCTCCCATCCTCCCCCACCATTGGCTGGTGGAAATTGGAGTCAATGACATCTAGAGGGCACTAGTTTGAAAAAGCCCAGTGTATGGATGACCAGTGGCTCAGGGCCAGACTCCCATGCATTCAGCAACACAGGATGGCACAGTTGAAGAGGTGTGCCCAACATGTCTGAAGCAATGAAAGAGTCTGGCTTTCTGCATGACCTTTTCATGCTTGCCTCCTAGCATAAATGGACTAGAATCCTCAGGTAGGAAACTATTTGGTCTGTTCTGTATGCAGTGGTGCAGCTAAGGCTGGACTGTGGAGATCTGTAATGGTAAAGCTTATAATTCACAGCTATTCCCTTAGTACAGAGGTTTTCAACCTTTTTGTGTCCACGGCTTCCTTGACGAACTCCATTCTTTCTGCGGCAACCCTGTGGGGCTCAGGAGCCCAGATGTGTCACCCCTTGCCTGCAGAGCCGGTAGCCTCTCAGCCTTTTTCAAACACCCTCCCTTGTGGAGTGTTCCCTCAGCCTCCTCTCCTCTCCCATCTCCTTGGGAGTCCTCCGGGCAATTACTGCTGCCACCCCTGGT